GAGCAAGATGTAGCAGTCTCCGGCTGCTCTTGAAGATAAAGATGGCCTTGGAGGCCTTGTTGTGGATTTGACTTTGGTTTAACAAAGTCTCAATACATACTGTTTTAAAACCACTTCCTTTACATAGTACTCTTTGATGATCGTCACTTTTAAAAACCTTTTTACTGTCTTCTAAGTGCTAGTTTACTGGGTAAGTTGATTTTCAGTCACCCATTTATATGCATTTGGTTTAGGACATTGTGTCTAAAGCACGTTCTATAACTGCAGCCTTCCCACCTCCTCCCTGGAATTCCCATTTCCATGCATCCTCCTGTCCCTGCCTGCCTTTGGAGCTTTATCCTTGGGCCAGTGATGCCCTTTTGCTGCTCTAAAGAGTGAATGGTTGTGCATCTCATTCAAATCCACTAGAAACTCCTCGGGAGAAAGCTGGGCAGTCTCCTCCCATTGTAGTTTACAACCTCAGAAACACAGTGGAGGGTTGCTGTGAGTTGGGACCAGCTCCATGACTATGAGTTTGAATTTGTTTTCAAGAGTGAGCACCCCCAGGATATTATTGTTTATTTTATAGGTCCATCTATTGTTTGACTCAAAGGTGAGCCAACGGGATGAGTTCTGTTGCAGGCTGGAAGGGTGAGTTAGGACCAGTCTTAGCATTTCCAGTTTGGGTTGCACATCAGAACCTCGCTCAGTGATAACCCTCACACTCAGCTCCCATTTCTCCTCTGTTGCATTGTCTGCTCCAAAACATTAGGGATTTCCCTGAAGGCAGGCTGTGCCTCCTTTATCTTGTTTATCTTATAGTGACCAAGTGACGGGTGAATGCCATAAATGTTTTGTTAATAGATTACCATCAGCTTTGGACAATTTCTAGGCTACCAATTTAGCAAACACACACACAAACAAAAATAATACTTAGACGTTAGTTACCATCATTTCAACTCATGGACCATATCCTGGGAATAGAGCTCTGCACCTTGGGGGTTTCTGCGGCTGGTTTTTCAGAATTAGATCACCAAGTTTTCCTTCCAAGGCTACTTCTGGATGGACTTGACCTTCCACTTTTAACCTTGTAAGAAGATAGCTACCAGATGGCCTCTTTATCAAGTTACTGAATAGTCATTTTCCCCCTAAATTCTGGACTTCTGTATGAAGTGAGAGGATTTGCCTACAGTATAAACAGCAGCAAAATTAAAGCCCTGGTCTGTTCCACCAGGCCTTTGGGCCTTTGCTCTATCCCTACCTTCTCCCCTCGCTCTTGGAAAGGGAGCTTATTTAAAGCTGTACAAACCTGTAGTAGACACTTATGGGTCTGTAGAACGCAGCCAGATAACACTCAGGAAAGTGAATGATTGTTGGGGCAAGAAAGTGATCACGTTTGGAGCCAGGTCAGAAGATTTGTGTAAAGCTCACTGTGTTTAGTACAGGTTCCATGTTCTTGATGAAGGTGTAGGAGCCTGGTTGCACAGTGGTTAAGCACTCAATTGGTTACTGACAGGTTATGCGTTTGAACACAGCACCTGCTCAAAGATGAGGCAATCTGGTTGACTGACTGCTGTCAAGCTGAGTCCAACCCTTCAAGATCACTGCTGTTTCACTGAGGCTTCAGATCTTAACTCGAAGAGACTACCTCACCTTTCTCCCTTGGAGCAGCTGGTGGGTCCAAACCGCTGGACTTAGGGTTACTCACTACTCTACTCTCTCTGCTCATTGCCATCAGGGCGGGACGGACTCGTACTTGACGCTCTAGCAGGCCTTTGGAGGCTGTAAATCACAGGAGAGGGGATTGGCTGTCTTTGGTTTAGCGGCAACTCTTTGTGGACTTCGCCACCAGAGCTCCCTCTGCCTTCGCGTCAGAAGCCCAATAGTTAATCTATTATTATATCACCAGGTCACTTCCCATAACCGTCAAACCCTTGGAAACCCTTTGGTGTAATTCTCTTCTGTTCTGTGGAGTTCCTGTGAGTCGAGGTCCGCTCACAGCAGCAACACTACCACCAGGTCTGAACAGAGAGGATTTGTAGACTGTAGTCCATGGAGTGAGTCAGCGTAGTCCCACATTTGGAAATGAATGCAGTGTGCAGCTAATTCCAGGAGGAAGCAGGTCTGGGCATGGGGAGGTCTTAGTTTTGCTTTTATCTTGGCTAGCTGGCGATTGTGCGCAAGCTACATCACCTTTTCTGGTTTCAGTGTTTTCATCCTAAGAAGCAGGGAGTTGGCTGGCATGAGCAGTCATGTCTTTCTCAGAGCAGGCAATACTTGGAGCATTCAGTTCTGGGTGTGCTCATGTCAGAAAGGAACACCCTTTGTCTGCAATGTCAGGCACAGAAACCCACAGGAGAGAGCAAGGGTAGCAAACAGTTGGGAGAGTGAAGTGTGGATAACTTAGCCTTTACGTTGCAACCTCTTCTTTTCTTTCAGTATGGCTTGTTTCTGGTCTTCCTTTAACATCTACTGCGGCCAAAACTGATTCCAACATAGAGTGACCCAGCAGGAAAAGAGAGTAGATCTGTCCGATGGGGCTCCCCTGTATTGTGAATAAGGAAGACTGAAGAATACGTGCTTTTGAGGTGAAGAGTACTGAATGTACCATGGATTGCCAAAAAACCCAAACAAATCTATCTTGGAGGAAGGAAGCACAGGCTGCGTGCTCCTTGTCTCTATGCTTTGAGCATGATGTCAGGAGATGTCAGCCCTTGGAAAACGACATCACGTTGGAAAAGAAGAGGGTCTGTGAAAGAGAGAAAGATCTTAAGGAGGTGCCTTGACACGGTGCCTGAACCAGTGGGCTTGAGCTTATGGAGATAGTGAAGTTGGTGCAGGACCGGACCAGGGTTTGGTCTGTTGCTTATAGAACCACTATGGGTAGCAGCCACAGTGAGAACTTGCTTGCACCCAACAACAATAGGGCTTCCAAATCTAGGAATCTTTATGTGAGCAGAACACCCGACTTTGTTCCCTTGAAGTGACTATTAGATTTGAACTACCAATGTTTTGGTTACTGCTGAAATCTTAAACTACAATGCCACTAGGGCTTGTTTTCTTTTAATTATTCTTAATGAACATTTACAGAGACTTTGGATTTCCATTCAATCATTGCTGCATTTTTCTCCCTGCACACTCCTTCCCCCTCCCCCACTTTCCAGTTCGCTCTTCTCTTTGAAAAGCAAAATAAAAATTCTTTCATTGGTATACAACCCCCCTCGCCTCCCCAAGTACACTCCACTGTGCAGCCTTTGTTCTGGACTCTTGTCGTGACCATAACACCCAATCATATGTCGCTTTTAAACAGTTCTCTCCCTCATCTGTTTCAATGCAGCATACATAATGTAGCCCATCTTTCTCAGTTTTCGTCTTTTCACCTTGAGTAACACCCACTGCTGTTGAGTAGGCTTGACTCATATAGACTCTCCCGTGGGTTTCTGGGCTATGCAGACACTAAGAAGGTAATTGGAGGAGAGTGCCTTGGACAGTTCTCTGTTACACATCGCCACTATGAGTGGGCTCGTTGTCGTGGTTACTTCCTTGTATTACTAAATCATTACAAGTTGTGGGTGGTGATGAGAATGTGGAGGACATGACGATATTCTTCAGTGTGTGCAAGTGTAACTTACTGAGAGGTAGATACGAGCGAATTCCCAAATCTACCTGGCACATGTGTGACTTGGAAAACATCAACATCATCCTTGGAAAAAACGCTGACCAAAACACAGCCTTTGGTTGCCGATGAATTGCTATGCTTCTAAAATGCAAAGCCTGGTGCAAACTCAGGTGCACGGGCAGAAGCTGAAAAGTGAGGGCAGGTGTGACGTTGGCCAAGAACAGTCACAGAGCCATAGGGAGCAAAGGACTTGAATCACTCTGCTTTTTTGACAAGGAAAATTGTCACTTGGACAAAATTATTTTACCCAAAAAAGGAAGACCCATTATTTCATTGAAAGTAGACTTCTGTCTTTACCAATATCAATGAAAAAAGACCATACCTCATTGCAGTTGAATTGGTTCCTGCTCATAGTGACCTTTTATTCAATTTCTGAAACAGTAAATTGCATGGGAGAAGACTGCCATCTTTCTCCTGTGAAGCTGTTCATGGACTTGAACTAAAAGTACCGAGCCTTTGGGTCGGCAGCACAGCTGGCTTCACATTGCACCACCAGAGCTCCCTATTGGTAGGGTAGTATTACTAAGTTCTTATTAATTAAGAGTATTCAAACCCATGATATAGTTGTAAAACTGACATGTGCCTCCAGCCTGCAGAACTGGTGGAACCATCTAATTAACATTTGTTTGGTCCTCAGACTCTGTTATAACATCTCCATAGTCACATAGAGTACCTTAAGCTGTCTGTTGACTGGGAGGAGAAATGTATCTTTCATTGAATTAGCATTTTTTTTTAGTCACTTGTAAACTGTACCCCAAGTTGTGTGGTAACTAGAAACTGTATGTGAGATAATAAAGTTATATTTTTCCTCAGTCAAATGAACTGTACTTTAAAGTGTCTTTATTAGGAGGGGAAATGCACCTTTCCTGGATTAACATTTATGTCTTTGAAACTGTTCAGTCAAATATAAACAATTTCCCAAGTTGTCTGTTTACTAGTAACTGTAAATGGCTCTCAATAGTAATAGAAGTAGATTAACAACTAACCCCAGTATAAAACCTAGAACCAAAATTAGAGAAAAATCAACAAAAGAGGATTCTCTCTGCTCTCCCAGATCTGCAATAAAGAGCTTTGGATATTGCAATCCATCTGTCTTATTGACAGACAACAGTCTGCAATTGACTACGGGAAGAACCCTTTTGCATTCACAACACTATCTTCTATTTATACAGGTATGTCAGAATAAAGATGATTATAGTTTCCTAGTTTTTAGTAACATATTGGATAACCGCATGCATCAGTATCTCTTTTTTAAAATGTCAGTATCTTTGATATTTAATATGAGAATATCTATTAAAGGATTTTTCTCTGTTTTCTGTTCTAGGTTGTTAACAGTTTCACAATGGACTCCCTTGTGGCAGCAAATGCCAAGTTTTGCTTTGACTTTTTCCAAGAGATAAGCAAAGATAATCCTCGGAAAAACATCTTTTACTGTCCTCTGAGCCTCTCGGCTGCCCTGGGCATGATCCACCTGGGTGCTAGAAACAACACTGCCCAACAGATCTGCGAGGTGGGTGTCTGCTGTGGCCTCTCCCTTGTCTTGGGACTCAGGCCACACCTGAAGGGAGAGAAGGGCTCCATTTGCAAACCAAGTTGTGTCCTTCATTTCTATTTCCCTCCCTACAGGTCTTTCTCTTCAAGTTCTTTCAATCATCAGGATGCAAGTTGCCTTCCATCTCCTTTATGCCCTCTCCCCGACCTTACCTGCTTCTCCTGTTCATCTTTTGTCCCTACCTCTCTCTTATTCTATAATTCATTTTTTTTATTTTATAATTTTTAAAAAAATTTCTTATTTTCTGTGTGTGTACCGTCAAATTAGATCTGACTGGTACAGGAGGAGATGGCCCCTCCTTCTCCAGCACAGCATCTGGTGGATTTGAACTGTGCACCTTTGGGACTGCAGTGCAGCGTCTTGCCACAATATTGTTACTATTTTAAGTGTGTTTATGTGTTTCCTTTTCTATTTCTATTTCTTCTAATGAAGAAGTCTTTATTAAGCACCGGTTAAGCCTTCAGGGGCTTGGGCTAAAGACTTTGGTGCCATCCTTACTTGTGTCTTTCTTTATGACCTCGTGCTGAAATTGTCTGAATATCTCATTGATGCTTCTTTAAAAGAGATCGCTTCGGCAGCACATATACTAAAAAATTGGAACTATACAGAGAAGATTAGCATGGCCCCTGCACAAGGATGACACGCAAATTCATGAAGCGTTCCATATTGAAAGAAAAAAAGAAGAAAAAAGAAAGTATATTCCAACCGCTTCCCACAATCTCCCTGTGATCTGAACCACCACCATGTCCTTGTTTGAATACTGCAATAAGCTCCTGATGGCTTCTCTGCTTCCATAGTCAACACAGTTGCTGAACATTCCTTTAACCCAAAGGCAGATCCTGACTCTCATCTGCTCAAAACCCTGCTGGTATTTCTCTGACAGTAAGACCCTTACAATCATCAATGAGATCCTGTGGATACAACCCCAGATAATCTCATGACTTCACCTCTTAACCCCACTCTGCACTGGGTTCTGATCACCACAGTTTTCTTGACTTCTTTAGATAAGCCACTGCCACCTCTCGCTCAGGATTTTCACTCTACCTGGACAGATCATCCCCCAGAAAGCTGATTTGATAGCTTGTTCTTTCCTACAAGACTGCTCTAAAGTCCACCTTCTCAGTAAGACCAGCCATGATCTCTGTCTGCATCCTGTCACTCTAACTTTTTCTACACATCATTTTTCACCTCCTAACACATTGCACTATGTTTTGATTTTTAAGGAGTTCTAGTGCCTCAGCCAGCTAAGTATTAGATTACTAATTCAAAGATCAGAAGTTTGAATCTATCAGATGATTTGTATGAGAAAAGTGAGGTAATCTGCTCTTGTAAAGATTTGTACACAAATCTTTCTTCTGTGTCTTACAGAGTTGGCTATGAGTCAGAATATACTGAAAGGCAGTAGGTTTGGGTATTGCTTTTTGAATGCCTCTCTCACTTGAATATAAAAGAAAGAAATCTTTCTCCAAGAACAGTCTTAGCTTATAGGACCCACCCAATTAGAGCTGTAGAATGAATGACTAGATGTAGCAAGAACAATGCCCCAAACAAATCGCATGGTCCCAACACTGGTTTTTCATTTCCTTGACTTGAGCATACCTATCTTCTCTGGGGAGAAGTGTCTATGTATAACTGTTGCCACTCTCAATATGCATAGCTTAATGGATTAAGAGAGTTTGTTTAGTGATAATTCTGATGGATCAACTTACTTTGATTTGTAGAATTGTTTCCTTCCATTTGTAAAACTTGGCTTCAGAATGGGCGTTCATGCTCCAGGTCAGGCTTCAGGCCTTTCTCTTCCCTGACACCTGGTTCACCGACTTGCACACCAGGCTGGCAGTGCAGGGTGCACCCCCTTACTTTCTGTATTATCTTTCTCCAGTGCTCTGGACACTTGGATTTACTCTTCTTCTTCCCTTGCAGGTCTAGGTCAGGGCCGTCCAACACACATACAATGTGAGGCACATACACATTTAAAAAAATATTGGTATTTTATATTAAGGACACTCTGGTGGCCTCCTGAGTAAGGAGTTGGACTGCCAACTCAAAGGCAGATAGTTTGAATGCATTGGTTTCTCTCAGGAAGAAAGATGGGCAACCTTCTCCCATGCACTTTGGAGCCTCTGAAAACTCACTGGTGGGTCAGTGAAGGTCTGTTCCGACTTGACAGAAACGAGAGAGAGAATATTAAAACAGTAAAAAGAAACAAGTGACACAAACTTTCATACTATATTCTATCTGATACAATATATAAAATATTATTATTAACAACATGTAACTCATATATTTATGAGATATTTTGCTTACCTTTTTCATAGTCAATCTTTAAAATTTTAGTGTGCATTTTATGCCTTTTCTGGGGGGTATGTCATCAAGTCAGTTTCAGCATATTTCTATTCAGATTGTCCACCTTTTTTTTATTAAATTTTATTTGTTTTAATGAACATTTACAGAGATTTTGGGTTTTCATTCACTCATTCATTGTTGCACTGTTATCTCCACCCTCCTCCCCAGTTCGTTCTTCTTCCCCCCCCATGTCTGTTTTAATTGTCAAATTTCCACAGTGCTTGTCAAAGCCAGTTCTGATTAATCTCCTTTGTCAGTGTGTCCCTTGCCATTCCCTATCTCTCCTCCCTGAGAGAGACTTCACCCTGATTCATAAGGAAAAGGGGATGGCGTATTCTCTTAGCTACTTCCTGCTGAAAAGGGACACTGTGGGTTTCAGGGTGAAGGTCTTCTCTCACTACTCTAAAGATTGTTCACCTTTTAAGCACCCAGTAGCCACATATTTTTTGTAGCCAGAACATTGAGCTACATGACCTTAGATTATCTTAGTTTGCTGACACTCATCCTTTCACATAGTTCCAAGGGGAGAGCTGGTATTGTTGCTGTTATTGTTAGCTGTTCTCAAGTTGACTCTCAATTCATGGTGACCCTGTGCAAAAATGAAGCGAATGCAGCCTGGTCCTGCACCATCACCGTGTTCGGTTATAGATTGGACCATTGGCAAACTCATATGGTTTTCATCAGCTGAGTTTTGAAAGCAGATTGCCAGGAGTAAGTAGGTGCCACAAAGCAATGGCTAAGACTTCACAGACAGATGTGTGGTGGCTGAACAGGGGCTGTGGGGAGTGGACGATCTCATGGAAGGTGAGGCTTCTACTGCTGAACCCCCACTGTCCTCCCAAGGGTCAGTGATGTCTCCTTTGTTCCACCTCATCACCCAAGATAGGAGAGGTGCTCACTTTCCTTCCAATCATTGATTGTTTTGTCCCCTCATCATTGTCCCATTTAAACATGCTTCTTAAGCTCTTCAGACTTCCTGCTGTTGTTATTGGCTGAAAGAACCAATGATCCTCCACACAGGTACTGCACTTCAATGAATTTTCGAAGAATGAAAGCAAAGAATCAGATGCCTGTTTGAAAAGCAACAAATCAGAGGTGGTGGCTGACAGCCCTGTGGAAGGGCAGGAGAAGACGAAGGGGCTTCTGAATCTACAGGTGAGCTGCACCAGCCCCATCACTCTTGTCGAACTAGACACCTCGCTGTACTTAGAGAAGGTTGCTCAACCAAAACATTAGGTCCTGACTGTCAGCAACTGCATCTTCCCCCCTGACCTGGCTTTCCTTTCTGTTTGTACAGCTTGTGTGTTCTTGGCTACAAGCTAGTTTTCTAAAGAGTAGGACCTAGTTGCACCTTCTGTTCATTATAAGGAAACTTAGATGATCACCTCATTACTCACTTGTGTTTTCAGGGCACAGGTCCCCAGAATGGAGCATGGTGGAGCATGAAAGAGATGAGAGGCGGGACCAACTGAGGGGTTCTTAGCCTCTCCCTCTTTTTGGTCCACTTCATCTTGAAATCTCCACCTGGATATTGGCAGTCTCATTCCAGTCACAGGAAAGATATTCTCTAGGCTACTTGTCACCTTATCTTAGTAATCTTACGAGGAAAGCTGAGAGACCATTATCTTTTTGGATAAAGAAAGGAGCAGGACTCTCTAATCTAGAAGATAGATGCATTGCTGGCCTCCAGATGCATTGTTTCCTGGACGGTCTTGTACCAGTCCATGAAGCATGATGATAAAAATGTGTCCATTTCCACCTCTCCACCTCCCTTCTTCTTAACTTTTCCTCCTGCAAAGTGAAATGATAACTTGTTGTGCAGATGTAACTTGATTCTGTAAAGAAATACTCATGACCATTCACTGGAAAGCCAGCCTCCCATGCATGGAGTTCCTATCCACATAGGGTGGGACCAGGTTGGTCTCTTATTCGCTAATTTTTGGAACTAGATAACCAAGTCTTTCTTCTTAATCTTCCTTTATTTGGAAGCTCTGCTGAAATCTGCTCAACATCCTAGCAATACACAAGACATCGCAGCAGACCAGTGATGTCTGCCCACGAAGGGTAGAGACAGAATTGAGTCCAGGGATTAGAAGGTGAACATTCTACCACTGAACCACCACAAGGGAGTCGATAAGAAGCTGCACTGCCCCCTCAGAGTCAGGCATTATAATCATTCAAATTCACCAGCTGCTCTGAGCAGAAAAGATGGGCAATGGCCTCCTGTGTGATTTACCGCCTCTGAAAATATTCTGCAAGGTCAGTGATAGGTGCATTCCAACTAGATGACAATGAGTTGTTGTTTTGTTGTTGAACCACCATGACTCTTCTGCTAGAAGCATTAAGTCTACACATTCTTTCTTTATTAGGCTGAATCTTCCAACGATGAGAGTGAAGTACTCAGCTGCTGTTTCGGGAAGCTTCTCTCCAAGCTGGACCGAATCCGAGATGATTACACCTTGAGTATTGCCAACAGACTCTATGAAGAGCAGGAATTTCCAATCTGCAAGGTGAGTTACCCAGATCCGGGGAGTAAAGCTACATTTAATACTCATAATTATAAATGAATAAGTAGCGGGGTCACTTGCCTCCCAGATGGTGTGCTGTGGACTGATGGGTGTGAAGACCCACCTACAACCTCTCTCCCCCGACTTGTTTCCCTCCTCCCTTTACATACAAGAAGTCAATTGAACGTCATTTAGTGGATGCATGAAGGATCATGGGATCTGCAGCCTTCAGAGGACTACAGTTTGACATTCCATCCCAGTTGAGGTCCTAAGAGATACACTCAGTAGTTCTTTGCTGTTGGCTCCCAGGCATGATTCTTGTCCAGAGTCACCTCTTTGTACCCCAACCAGGCCACCTCCAATGAAACTATGCTCCTAAGAGCAGAGAAGTGTAGTGGACAGTGCTTTGTTTAGAGACAAAGGATCAGGACTTGCACTGATGGGCGTATACCCCAAGGAAACTGGAGCCAAGACACGAACGTATGTTCATAGCAGTGTTACTCATAATAGCAACAACATGAAAACAGCCCAGATGGCTATCAACACATGAATGGATTGAGAAATTGTGGTGCATTACGCCTGTGCCCCTGGGAGAGTCTAAGAAACATCATGCTCAGAAAAATACCAGGATCAGAGTTTATTGGGCAAATTGTGGGGTGGGGGGAGGGAAAGGGAAAGATTCAATGGAGATTTGAAAGGATGGTATAGACACAGACCAATGATAATATGAGAAACAGTGTATACGAGTGATTGTATAAAAGCAATGTAAATGAGGGATTGTCTAGAACACAGTGTATGTGAGTGAAACACAATATGAATGAATTATTGTGTGAAAACCAACTTTAAAAAGGCTCAGGTCTCCCCTCTGGGGTTAAACAGCTTCATGCATATAAACCTAACCTCTTCAGTCTAGACGTGGTTCCTCTTCAGTCACTAGAGGGAGCCAAGGGCTCAGTGATAAGAGTGATGCCTGCTCCACATCAAAAGCACCACCCAGCTGGTGAGGACAGGGCTAAACAGAGAAGGGGCACTTCAATGTTGGCTCAAAACAGCATGTTTTCTGACAGTGGAAATGGGATTCCGTAAAGGTTTTATTCTTAAAGATGAGAACATTTTACAGTTAAGGTTCTTCTGTTTCTTGACATTTATCTTGAGTCATCTCCAGGGCATGGTCCAGTGAAAGATGTCTTGCAGGTAGGTGTTCCTTCCCGAGTGAGCTTTCTGTCTTAAATTGTCACAGCCAAAAGCTAAGAGGCTCTGGCTAATTAAGACCGAGACTATATACTGATGTGTCTATTCTTTGAGAACAGTGCCCTGGGGGCTGAGTGGTAAAGCATTTGGCTATTAACCTAAATGTTGGAGGAGAAGTGTGGCATCAGGATTGGTGGAAGATCTATCAACAATCTGCGTTATGCAGATGACACAACCCTGCTTGCTGAAACTGAGGAGG